GAATTAAATTACAAATAACCTTGTTTATAGAATATATAGTGTAAAAAATAATAGTGAAAAATCACGTTGTGTCTTCATATTATTGATTTTAACATTACTTCTACTTAAAAATGCTAACAATTAATAAATTATATATTTCTAAATATAATAAAAACATCATTATATATAAGAACAACTCAAAATTTGTTAAAAACACTAATTGTTTTCTTAAAATCTGTATCTAATATAAATATTTATCACACTCAAATTATATTACAGGTAAAAGGATTCTTACAATATTTATAAATTTAACATTTAACAGAACTATTGCATTTTGTATAAAACTTCTGTTTCCATATCTTATTTTCTTTTCTACCTAAAACATACAGTATTGTTAATGTTCTCTTTTTGATTTCTGTCTTCTATTTTTTTACTTACATTGTTTATAATGAACAATTTCATTTTTTTAAAATTCTGTAGGGTTAATTATTATTATAATTTCTCAAACTCATTAATTTAGTGCCTGTCAAAAACAATAACAATTTCAGGACTAAACCTTTTTTTCTTTTTATACATTTACAATTGTTTTATCATCTTTAAATAAAATTGAATGGCTAATGAATAGCTAATTCTATAAATATATATTGATTGATTATATATTTATATTGAAAATAGAACAGGCATGGTTTGAAAAATCAGAAGCATAAAAATATAAAATTCTGTCTTTGTCCATATCATTTGAAAATCATTTTTTAATTTACATTTTATATATTTATGAACTGTAATGAGCTAAATGAAACAAAATCTCATTTCCAATATGAATAAATCAAAGTACAAACTTATTTTAAATTAAGATTCTTAAAATCAAATATCACAGCTTTTCATTTATTTCAATATTACATAGATAGGAAAAAGATGGATTCATTTATCTCTGTCATCAAAGACAGTCAATATATCTAAAGAATTAATATTATTCAGATTTACATCTCTAGAAACAATAGATATATGTGTATGTTTTACTAATATAGTGATAAATATCATTTCCTCTTAATTCATTTTAACCTGTGATTTAACCTTATAATCATAGCAAATTTGATATATTGTTATTGAAATTGGAAAATAATAAATAAAATATATAAATTATTATNAGGTTTATTATACACCCAGCCTATTTAATTTTTTTATAAAAAAATAACAGTTTTTTAAGTAACCATGCGCATTTATATTGATGTTTTAACAAGCAACTTTCTATATAATAATTTGTTACATTTTATCTTTTGAGACATTAAACTTTAGTTTTTTAAAATTAGGTTGTTTTATTTCTTATCTGATATAATGAACATCAGTTTTTACAAACTGTCAGAACAGGTTTGTTCAGGTTTGTTATAAGTGGACACTACTGTATTTAAAAAATGTAACAATAAATGATACAGTATTGCTGAAATGTGTAACTATTATATAAATTTTTCATAGTAGACAAAACATCATATTGAACTCTTCCATTTTTATTCATGTAATGAATTAATCATTCCTATATATGTAAAAAGTCATACATTTTTTAAGTATTAATTCAGATAGTTTTAAAATCTTATTAAAAACACTGTATAAATTCCTTCACTAATATCAAGTTGGTGTATGTAATCTCAAAAGAATAAGAGAATAACTGAAGTCTTAAACTAAGCTTGACTCAGGAATAACAACCATATGACAAGTGCTAAAGATATTGATCTGTCTCTCTGAGACAGATTGTCCCAAATTTTTATGGAAGATTTCATTCTCATCACTCAGTTACCCATGGTATTATAGCCAAACTCATGATGGATATGAAAAAAGATCCTCTTACTGCATGTAAGGTGGCAAACAGTAGAAACTTCATATAAAAATATTAGAAAAAAGTTTTAAAATTTTTTACATAATCAAACTAGAAAATTTTTAATAAATTATATTGATTTATTAATCTGCTAATTGTGTTATGATGAATTTTTGATGGATACTTAGAGTTTTATTAACTAGATGCATAACTAATATCTCAATACATTTAGCTGTTAGTTCACAAAATGAATAGCCTCAATGTGTTAAGTATGTTTTTAAACATATTTAAAAGATATTATCTCAGTGTTAAAGAGGTAGAGAATACAAACATTTTAGTTAATATGTATATTCAATAGTTTGATCTACATTTAGTCTGTAAATTTTGAAATTTCTCTAAAATAAACTCACTCCATTTTAAAAAATTGCCAGGACAAATTTACAAAAAAATGTATTTCTTGGTAGACTATACATACAGGATGAGTCAATTTCATTTGATCCTTTCACACGCTCTTGAGTAGCCTATGGACAAGTAGCCTACAATGAAAGGTTGACTCTGCTGGAGAATCATTATTACCTCAAGAGCATGTGAAAGGATCGAATAAAATTGACTCATCCTGTATGTATAGTCTACCAAGAAATATATTTTTTTATAAACTCACTCCAGTTTATATTATAAGATGACATTAACTGCATAGATTAATATAGTTCTCTGCAGCTTACAAGCATAATGACAGAGAAAAATTATCAATAAATATGTATTTAATTTGTTATTGTTTGTTCATTTTTTTTATATTTATAAATTTCTTTTAAAATGTTTTGATGATCTTGAAAAATAAGATCTAAGTAGAATAGTAATTCTCAGACTTTTTAAAAAAATGCCCATGTTTTTGTGAAAAGATCTTGCCAACCCTCTACACTTTCCATATAATTAAACTATAAATTTTTTAATGGATTTTATTTTAATTAATAATAAAACTAACATAGTCATAACCACAATGTAATAATTTTAATGAAATAAACATCGAAATTCAGATTTTCAGTACACTATAACACTAAAATGTTAAAGTGTACTGAAAATCATAGATAGAATATCAAGTATGTGTTGTAGTTTAAACAAAAATAAACGATACAGTAGAGCCTCGAAAACTCGGCACTCCGGATAACTCAGCCACACCTTGGCAGGGCAAAAAAAATCCTTAGTTAATTAATTTTCATTATAGACAGCTTTATGCCTCATAAAGTATTTTTCTGAGGTCTGTCTTATCAGGTAAATTACTGTACACAGTGTATTCATTAATTTTCATTTTCATGTAGTAAAGGCTCTATGCCTTCATAAAGGATGTATTTTTCCTTTGTTTAAGGGTATTTGGGCAGTTTATTCTCAGTTGTATTCTCAAGCAAACAATACATACAAGTACAGTACAATATTTTCTGAGGAAACACGCATACTTATCCTTTTTTAACCCCATCCCGATAATCCGGCATGTTCACAAACTTGACCACCCTTCGGTCCACATTAGGCCGAGTTTTCGAGGCTCTACTGTAATATTGATAATTTCTTTGTACCTTTTAGGAAGGATCTCGTGTTTCACTAAGGAGAAATGTCCCACAGTTTGAGAACCACTGAAGTAGAGGCATTGATTTTACTTTTTTTTTTCAATAGGAAATATGATTACAGTTACATAATTATAAATTGTTAGCAAAAAGACTAAATTCAAAAAGTCACAGAAGTTAATATATATCTGATAACATTGATGAGAAATACATTAATATAAATTTTGGTAAAAATAATCTTTTTTCATATATTATGTAAGGCCTGGACTCCACATTACTTGTAAACAAAAACTGAAAAATAGACAAATGTAGTTTCATGTGTTTTTCTGTTTAGCTAAGTTCCATACTACCCTAAAATTGCAACACACTGGAACTTTTCAAAGTCAGTTTTCCAAAATGAAGAGCACTTTGGTGGCTTTGAACCTCATATTGCTTTTAAGTAGCCTGTTAATTGTTTAAAAAACAAAAAGAGAAAAGAAAACATTGATTTTGGGTGAGAGAAATATACAAAAATCAATTGAAGTATGATTATAACTAGGATTTGCAGATTAGTTTAAAACAAAATGATAATTATGAGATACTATATCAAGTTGATTTAAGTTATTTGTTGAATAATAGCACTAGTATAATTTTCTGATGGATGATCTGATATCATTAACAAACACTTTTTTATTGGTTAAATCACAACTGAAAAGCTTGCCAGAAATGAAAAAAATTAAGATATTTTCAACTTTGCTTTCAGATGAGATTCTGTTGAACTGAAAGTGATAAAACCAGTTGTGTCACTTTCAGTTGTATTTTCAGAAAATGTGGCATCTTTGTTTACCTATTTTTCAGATGTCAAATTAGGAAAAAATGAATTTTATGATTTACATTTGATTAAACTAATAAAATTTGACATATCTGTTATAGTCTGTCATATAATAGAGTAAGACCACTTTGAAATCTGTGGGTTACATTTCCATAATCTTGCCATTTTAGTTAAAAATAATTTAGTTTAATAAATATCCATAAAAACTAAAATCTTAATTAGTTGAAAGATTAATATAATTGACAATCAAACAGCAAAATTAAGTAAAATTTGTAATCAAAATTCAAAACAAAGAAAATATTTGCTTTATTTGAGAAAGTTAGTTATGTTGTCATTACAAAATACAGTACAATAATTATAAACATAAATAATAGCATTGCATTTTTTTAACACTGATAGTTTATAAATTTAATTACAGATTAATTCATGAACCTTGTCAAACAATGCACAATACTTGGGTGGGGCTCTGAAAGTTTTAAAAAGCTCAAGAGCTCCTTTTTGATAATGCACGGTATCCTTGTGAAAAATATATCAATCAGTCCCTTTGGCTAAGTAAATCAGCTGGTCCCTGTTACTGTGTATTTTTATAGCCAAGATTTCTGAAACAAGCTGTAATATTTAATATCTTTCAGTTCTGTAAAAACATATTTAAATAAAAAATTAAATCTGAATGAACTTTTTATATTTTAATTAGTTTTGTTATCTCAGTATGAAATACAGTAAACTGAATTGAAACAAAATTAATTGTCCTCTTAGTGCCCACAGGGCAGAAAGAGTTTAAAATAAGTTAATTTAATGCATTAAAAATCTCAATAAATAAATTTTATTTATTTACTTAATTTAGAGATATAGAAGAGAAGTTGAAAGTGAAAGTGATGATGATTATGTTCCCTATGTACCACTTAAAGAAAGAAGAAAACAGCAGGTTTGTTTAATCTATTTATTATTCAAATACATATGGACTATTTTTTTAATAAAAAAATAATAAAACAAAAATAAATATTAAGAATTCACTCATTAAAAATAATTCTTTGTAACTTAAAAAGATTTATTTATTTCTAAAAATTAATATAGTCTCCTAAAAATCTTGTTGGGATTTAACTATTACTTAAGATATTAAATGTTGAAATTATATAATTGATAGTGCCAAATATATTAATAATTAATATTAATAAAAATATTTTAAAAAAAACCAATGGAGTCAGATAAATTGTCTTTACCCAATTGTACTACTAACTAGTATACGGAAAAATAATTCTCCTTTCTTCTCTGACTTCTGAGGGCTTAAAAAATTCCAAGAATGGTGTTAATGATGTCTTCTAATGGATAACCTGTATTACATTCTGGTTGTAAGAAACCCTGCTCAAGAGGCCAAAAAGGGGAAATGCATTTGGGGTGAATTATAGTGTTAAATAAAAAATTTTTTTCTCTTAAAGTTAACCTGTTGGTCCTTTTGTTTTTTATACCAGTCTACAGACTTGGAATCTTTTAAGCCTCCAGAAGTCAGAGAAGAAAGGAGAATTATTTTTCCATATACTAGTTAATAGTACAATTGCGTAAAGGAAATTAATATTATCTTGATCCAAATTTTGGAATCAAACAATCTAACACTAACCATTGAGGACTGCAGAAAAATTCAAATTATAGTATTGTAGAATAAAATCAGTAATGCTTCAAACAATTCTCAATCTTACTGAAAAACTCTGAAAAATAATTACCTACTTTTCTCTTTAAAAGCATAAAATATATATGACTGTTGTATTTGTGTAGTGTTTTCAGATGTCATCTATAGTAGTTTGTTTCTAAGTATCAATGATAAGAAATATTAAGAGTTAAAAGATCTTAAAATACAGTAATACCCCGACTTACGCGAACCCGGAGTTACGCGATTTTCAAATCTCGTCGATTCGTCTTTTGTTTGAGCGCCACGCAACCCTTGATTACTCACTCCCCCCACACTATTGTTCAGCTTACATGTTCGGATGTGTCGCGCGGAATCCACACATAGCTACAATTTATTTTGTGTTATTTATTTCTGTGTTTGTTATATCTACGGAGACTCGAGAGACTCTACTATGTCATCCAAACGAAGTAGAACTAATTCTTCTGCATCAAACAAGAAAAGAAAAACTTTATCTTTGGAATGTAAAGTTAACATTGGGTATGTTCGTAAAGTCGAACGAGTTAAACGAGAATGACGTCATCGTTATTCCTATTTCGTTAGACTTTTCGAACGATTCGTTACTAACGCGTTTAACTCGTTTGACTTTACGAACGTACCCATTATTAAAGACTTCGATACAAAAATGAAAATTTGTGAATTGGCAAAGAAGTTTGATCTACCGGAATCGACGGTCAGAACAATTATAAAAGGCAAAGAAAAAAATTCTCAAAGCTGTGAAAAATGCTCAATCTTTAAATTCAAGCATCATTCGTAAACATCACAGTATTATCGCTGAGATGGAAACAATGTTAAAATTATGGCGTAATAATCAAGTAAATGTGAAAAATTGTAAAATAATACAGGCCTAATTTGTTATACATATGTATTATCTAAGATTTTATTAAACATTTTTTTCTAAATTATTTTTTTGTTTAGTCTCTGGCCCCAATTAAAAATTATTTGTATGTATTTATATGCGAAATTATATCCCGACTTACGTGAATTCAACTTACGCGCTTACCGCTCAGTCCCACGTATTGTGTAAGTTCGGAGTATTACTGTACCAATATGCAGTATCAAATGACAATTAGAAAATAAGAGAAAATACAAAAATATAATTGATGTTTTGTGTTTTGTTGCATCAGCTGTACTGATTATTAGTTTGCTACAGAAAGTAAATGATGTTTTTATAAATTTGAAAATAAAAAGTTATTTATGCACAATGATTATTTTACAACTTCATTTTAAATGTTTCTTCTACCTTCAAGAATTAAAAACTCAGAAATTGTTTGATATCCAAAAATTAAGTCTTAAGCACTATCATAATCCTTTTGAATTCAGTACCATTGATTCATTATATAGATATTTTTACTTGTGAATTTCTCTAAAGATATTCAATCTCAAAAAGGCTTTCTAAGCATCTTATTTAATGATTGATATATTAATAACAAAATTCTTTAAACTAGCATAAAATTTGAATTGAATTAATAATACACTCTTATATAAAAATGAATTATGACAAAGCATAAATTATAATTTTAATTAATTTTAATTATGACTGATGTTTACACTCAACTTTTAATATTGTTTTATTTTTATCTTATAATATATTGTGAACTGTTATTCAATGCTATGGTTTGGAATTATATAAAATAACTGTAAAGTTGTGAATTTAAAGTGACTACAGTTTTTAATATATTTTTAAAATTTTTTTTTGACTTTCAGCAGTTAATAGTCAATATTTGCCATATAAATTTTAAATAATTTATAGTAAGAATTATTTAATGAAAATCATTTTTATTTTATATTTATTATTTTATTAAAGATTTTGAAAATTTTTAAATTCCTAAACTGAAATTTATTAAATGATATTAGGTGCTTATATGTTCTAGTACTATTGTTAATATGGTAATTGAGCAAAAAAATTAATGCAAATTTTTAATTTCTAACTAGATATTCAAATAATTAATAATAGCTTATAAAGTATTTTAGCTGTTTATAAAAAATATGTTTATATTTTTGAATATATTTAATATAGCTGCATACACTTGGTCGTTTAAATCTAACCTTACAAGAAGAAGAAAGTAAATCAAACAGTGCCATAGAAGAAGAAATTGATGATGATCAATATGGTAGAAAGTCTAATATTAGCTTATTAGACCAACATAATGAATTAAAAAAGAAAGCTGAAGGTGAAACAGTTTATAAAATTATTATTTTATATAATTGTGATGTTATAAATTTATTGATTTAGGTTTGTTTAGCAAAATTACATCACTAGTATACACACCAGTTTATTAGTGATGTAATTTTGTTAATTATTGAATATTTGCACAGCATTACAACTGAACTAATTGATTGTTTACCAACTAAACAATCAAAATTTTAATTGGATAACCAAAAAGTTTGTATGGTTTTTTAAGACAAAAATAAAACAAGAATATTTTATTCTAAAAAGTAAGCACTTTCACAATTGATAATTTTTACTCAATGAGAAATAAGTTTATAAATTTTCCTCTTATAAAATTTGGAAACAAACTTATTCAACTTCTTTTCTAATCCCTCTTGATTTTGAAATTTTTGGTTACACAATTGTCAAGCAACAAGAAAAGATGAAAATCAGATGGTGAGAGATCTGGTGAATATGGAGGTTGGAGCAGAATTTTCCTAGAAAGGATAAAGAACTTTCCTGAAAATCACTCCTAAAGTTGAAATTTTGCATTATCTTGACAAAATAAAATACTTTTGTAATTAATCAATGCTGGCTGTTTTGAACTCTCTCAATCTCTGAATCTGACTCAATAGCATTTTTTCATTTGTTGTCATCAATGACTGTTGGCAATCTTTCACAGACTGCATCTTCAAGAGATTCAGCTCTAACACAAATTTTTTCATACCATTTTTGGGCTGTTTACTAACTATCCTTGCTCTGGATTCAGGAAGCTTGTGCAGTATTTGTCTTAAGTTTAAATTTATAAAGTAAGCACCCTGAAATAACTGTATTTGAAGCNTATTTTCACATGTGAATTTCTCTAAAGATATTCAATCCCAAAAAGGCTTTCTAAGCATCTTATTTAATGATTGATATATTAATAACAAAATTTAAACTAGCATAAAATTTGAATTGAATTAATAATACACTCTTATATAAAAATGAATTATGACAAAGCATAAATTATAATTTTAATTAATTTTAATCGTGACTGATGTTTACACTCAACTTTTAATATTGTTTTATTTTTATCTTATTCAATGCTATGGTTTGGAATTATATAAAATAACTGTAAAGTTGTGAATTTAAAGTGACTACAGTTTTTAATATATTTTTAAAATTGTTTTTTGACTTTCAGCAGTTAATAGTCAATATTTGCCATATAAATTTTAAATAATTTATAGTAAGAATTATTTAATGAAAATCATTTTTATTTTATATTTATTATTTTATTAAAGATTTTGAAAATTTTTAAATTCCTAAACTGAAATTTATTAAATGATATTAGGTGCTTATATGTTCTAGTACTATTGTTAATATGGTAATTGAGCAAAAAAATTAATGCAAATTTTTAATTTCTAACTAGATATTCAAATAATTAATAATAGCTTATAAAGTATTTTAGCTGTTTATAAAAAATATGTTTATATTTTTGAATATATTTAATATAGCTGCATACACTTGGTCGTTTAAATCTAACCTTACAAGAAGAAGAAAGTAAATCAAACAGTGCCATAGAAGAAGAAATTGATGATGATCAATATGGTAGAAAGTCTAATATTAGCTTATTAGACCAACATAATGAATTAAAAAAGAAAGCTGAAGGTGAAACAGTTTATAAAATTATTATTTTATATAATTGTGATGTTATAAATTTATTGATTTAGGTTTGTTTAGCAAAATTACATCACTAGTATACACACCAGTTTATTAGTGATGTAATTTTGTTAATTATTGAATATTTGCACAGCATTACAACTGAACTAATTGATTGTTTACCAACTAAACAATCAAAATTTTAATTGGATAACCAAAAAGTTTGTATGGTTTTTTAAGACAAAAATAAAACAAGAATATTTTATTCTAAAAAGTAAGCACTTTCACAATTGATAATTTTTACTCAATGAGAAATAAGTTTATAAATTTTCCTCTTATAAAATTTGGAAACAAACTTATTCAACTTCTTTTCTAATCCCTCTTGATTTTGAAATTTTTGGTTACACAATTGTCAAGCAACAAGAAAAGATGAAAATCAGATGGTGAGAGATCTGGTGAATATGGAGGTTGGAGCAGAATTTTCCTAGAAAGGATAAAGAACTTTCCTGAAAATCACTCCTAAAGTTGAAATTTTGCATTATCTTGACAAAATAAAATACTTTTGTAATTAATCAATGCTGGCTGTTTTGAACTCTCTCAATCTCTGAATCTGACTCAATAGCATTTTTTCATTTGTTGTCATCAATGACTGTTGGCAATCTTTCACAGACTGCATCTTCAAGAGATTCAGCTCTAACACAAATTTTTTCATACCATTTTTGGGCTGTTTACTAACTATCCTTGCTCTGGATTCAGGAAGCTTGTGCAGTATTTGTCTTAAGTTTAAATTTATAAAGTAAGCACCCTGAAATAACTGTATTTGAAGCTGACATTTTGACATCTGTTTTCACATTTACTGTAAACAACTACATAATTAAAATTTTTTAACAAATTGCTGTGAAAGTCTAAATTTAGGATGGAAATTAACTTGTCATCTACAACAAATTCTACAAAATTAATGTTTAAACTAGTAAGTTTATAAAACCACAAACTTTTTTGGTTACCTGATAATATTATTTAAATATGATTTAATATTTTGAATTAAATTACAAATAACCTTGTTTATAGAATATATAGTGTAAAAAATAATAGTGAAAAATCACGTTGTGTCTTCATATTATTGATTTTAACATTACTTCTACTTAAAAATGCTAACAATTAATAAATTATATATTTCTAAATATAATAAAAACATCATTATATATAAGAACAACTCAAAATTTGTTAAAAACACTAATTGTTTTCTTAAAATCTGTATCTAATATAAATATTTATCACACTCAAATTATATTACAGGTAAAAGGATTCTTACAATATTTATAAATTTAACATTTAACAGAACTATTGCATTTTGTATAAAACTTCTGTTTCCATATCTTATTTTCTTTTCTACCTAAAACATACAGTATTGTTAATGTTCTCTTTTTGATTTCTGTCTTCTATTTTTTTACTTACATTGTTTATAATGAACAATTTCATTTTTTTAAAATTCTGTAGGGTTAATTATTATTATAATTTCTCAAACTCATTAATTTAGTGCCTGTCAAAAACAATAACAATTTCAGGACTAAACCTTTTTTTCTTTTTATACATTTACAATTGTTTTATCATCTTTAAATAAAATTGAATGGCTAATGAATAGCTAATTCTATAAATATATATTGATTGATTATATATTTATATTGAAAATAGAACAGGCATGGTTTGAAAAATCAGAAGCATAAAAATATAAAATTCTGTCTTTGTCCATATCATTTGAAAATCATTTTTTAATTTACATTTTATATATTTATGAACTGTAATGAGCTAAATGAAACAAAATCTCATTTCCAATATGAATAAATCAAAGTACAAACTTATTTTAAATTAAGATTCTTAAAATCAAATATCACAGCTTTTCATTTATTTCAATATTACATAGATAGGAAAAAGATGGATTCATTTATCTCTGTCATCAAAGACAGTCAATATATCTAAAGAATTAATATTATTCAGATTTACATCTCTAGAAACAATAGATATATGTGTATGTTTTACTAATATAGTGATAAATATCATTTCCTCTTAATTCATTTTAACCTGTGATTTAACCTTATAATCATAGCAAATTTGATATATTGTTATTGAAATTGGAAAATAATAAATAAAATATATAAATTATTATTTACAGCTAGAAAGGAAAGTGCTTTGGAAAAGCAATTAAAGGAAGAAGAAAAAATTTTAGAAAGTGTTGCTGAGAAAAGAGGTGAGATTAGTCTTAAGTTTATTTGACATTAAACATTGGTGAACTAGTTATAATTTATAATTTGTAACAGATTATGCAACATAATTTTTAAATAGATGAAAAATTACTAAAATTGAACATTGATACAAATTAAAGTTATTATATTTAAAGCAAAAACAAGCATTTGTGTAACATAAATGTATGTTTTTGTAATTTTTCTATATACATACATTTCTTCTACTTTAATGAAAGTAATATTTTTTGTAGGAAAGAATAGAATTATGCACTTGGATCATTAAAAATATATATTCATTTTGGAATAATTAACTTTAAAATAAATAAATAACATAAAATTGTCATAAAACATTCAAATAATTATGTTTTATTTATTTCATTCTAAAATCAGAAAATTTGTTGTTAATGTAAGTGATTACATCTGTGAAATGAAGTTTATTGTTAGTCTGTTAAAAATACAGATACAGATATTTATTGATCAATATGCCATATGGCATATCCCGGTGCCACTAAGTATTACCGGGTATATACAGGAAATTACATAGTTTACACTGNCGTGTTTACAATTGCAGCAAATAGCTGGTTTGTTCTTGTTAGTGCAGTCCTTAAAGCTATGTTGGCCAGCACAGTGACTGCAAGTTGGTACCTCTTGACTGCATGAAGTGGAAGTGTGCCCAAATCAGCAGCAGCGAAAACATTGGAGTACTGGGCAAAAGTCAGTAATTCTACACTTGGACCATTGGACTGAAATTTTTTCGTATTTTAATAGCTGTAATCTCAATTTTGGTGATACTTCTATCACCCAGTTATTGTAATATTTGCCCTTCTTACCCATGCGAAATTTAATCCTAAATTTAATCCATGTTAAAAATACAGTCGACTCCCCTATAACACTGTTGATAATTCCATTTTATATGAATTCCATGTTGTACGAGGCACTTAGATTTTACAAATACGTGAGCCGTTCACAGCCCGGCACATGTATTTCAACAGCCCGGTACAACATGGAATTCATATAAAATGGAATTATCAACAATGTTATAGGGGGGTCGACTGTACTATTTCTCACAGGCTGGCTGTATATATTTTCAATCAATTTTTCAATAAAAATTATTTTATAGTTTTTCTAAATGATTTTTTCACTTTTTTTTATAACTTGTGACTGTCTAGGAGCAATATGGATCTTATTAATGATATTTATGTTGGTGCATCAATGTAGATGGAACTAATAAACAAGTGTATATATATTATCAATATTTCTCTTTCAGTAATATGATAAATACTGCTTTTTTTTCTATTAAACTCTATTACTAAAAATTCACTGTTCTTTCTGAACAGTGAATTTTTGTTTGTTTGAAATCTAATATTATTATTATTATGTTGGGTTTAGTAGGTAATACTCGGTTTAAACCGGTGGCTGTGTACTATGCCGGACCAGAGTCAAGGCATAGCAACCAAAACAAAACTAAAATTAAATGTGTGTGTCAGTGTCTGTATTAAGGAATTTCCTAACAATATGGCATGTATTCAATATAGTGGCCTTCTGTAGTGTGATGTATGTATTTCTACTCAATTGTAATGTTCCCAGGCTTTTGTGTAGC